GGGGGGGGGGGTTCAGTGTTTGAGGGTTGTTCAACCACTTATCGTAGGGTTACCAACTTTTCAGAAAATGTTGTAGTAATAAAACCATAACGTCATGATCATATGACGTCTTTATGACGTCATTTATATGATTTTTTTGGGGGGTAAAACCGTCTAAGATTTTTTTTCGTAAAACTCAGATGAATACAACCAAACTTTAACAAAAAGTGTCTATAATAGAATCTTAATGTCTGCTAAAACTTTTGTTGCCTCTGCCAAAAACACTGACGTCAAAATGACGTCAAAATTACGTCATGCATAATTAAGCTGTCCGCCATCATGGATAAGAAATATTGCATTTTAAAATTTGCATTTTTTAAGCCTTTAAACGCAACGCAAATGGACTATAGATTCTCATATGAACATTTTATGTGAAAAAACACGGACTTGAGACGAAAAAATAGTTAGAAAAAAAAAGTTACATAAGAGGTTGGTCCGCCATCTTGGATTTTGACCGATGGCGTCAACAAATTAGATTAAGCATGAATATTTAATGTTAGAAACTATATAAAATTATATAAACATTTTATTAGTTTTAAAAAGGAATTGTAATCAAATAGTTTGCAAGTGTGCTTTTCCGCTCTATGGATCTGTTTGAAAATTACATTAGAAAGAAAGTAACGTGACGAAAATTGTCTATATCCCGTTCCGCCATTACCCAGTATGGTACCCAGATTGTCCACACCACCGACCCGCGGGAGGCCTGTAAAGGAGCCAATGTTATTGTTGCAGACAGGAGGTTAAAAAACTACACGGGGCCGGAGGAAGAGAAACTGGAAAAACTCAAGGCTCTTCAAGGATATCGCGTCACTCACAAGGTATGTTTTTTTTTAAATTTTGTTGACAGTTGTTTGAAAGTTTCAGCTTTTCAGAAAGTTTTTAAACTTAAAGCCGACCATGTTCGGCTGGAGTTAGTGCGCAATGTCTGAGTCGGTCCTAAATGTTGGACAACTACCCCAACAAAAAAAATAGTTAAGAAACCTCTTGTCTCTCTTGTCAATTTTTTCTTCTTTTTTTCATTTTGTTATACCCCAATTAAAAACGGAACAACATCTCCTTATAAAAGTATCTAAATTTCAATCTTCAACCGGATCCATGGATTCTGCCTGGTAAACGAGTTTTGTTGGCCAATTTAATACAGTGTCTTTGGTGCAACTGAATAAAGATAAACTAAATTTCGCAGTGTTAGGTTGTAATTGTCATGTTTCTGTCCTCCCAGTTTGGTGAGATGGCTGCTAAAGACTGGGTGTTTCTTCACTGTGGGCCAAGAAAACAGGACGAGGTGGACGATGCTGTGTTCTACAGTCACAGGTCACTCGTCTGGGAAGAGGCTGAGAACAGGAAGTGGACTGTAATGGTAAGGAAATGGTTATTTTGCAAAGTATGTGCTCCCACGCAGAATACCAGTTAATGCCAAAGCAACATCCTTGCAGATCAAGTTTTTGTAATAAAACCATGCATGTTAATACACACATTGCAATGATGCAGTAGTCAACAACGCCACTAACCATACTTTGCAAAACGTATCTACGTTAATACGCAAATACGCGCACAAGCACACATATAGACGCGTAAACACACGCACACACGCACATACAAACACACGCACACGCGCGCACACACACACACATACACGCACAGTCCTACATTGCATATAGCTGCAAAATATGCCTAGGTAACATGTCTTTTAATGTCTTTTTTTTCAGGCTGTCATCCTCTGTCTACTAAAATGCCACGCCTGTACAACCCCCAAGCCAGACTACTAGGCTCATTGCCTGGACCTGTGGGAATATAGAAGCAAATGAAATAAAAGATTGAGCACGTAGCACGTAGGAATTCTGCAGTTGAGTTGATTTAAACCGACACTTAAAGTAGTGGTTAGAAAAAATGCATGCAGCATGGACGTTGTAAAATCCAATTACTTGATGTACAGTCTGCACGTCCTTGGTACGACCCTGACCTCATCTTACTTTGACAGCTGGCTAAGCATGGATTGTAATGCTGACAAAAAACACGACATTTACGACATCAATGTTGTTTATACAGTCTCCTCACCTGTAACGTCCAGTGACTTGATATGGTAAATGCGTTCTTGGAATAACATTGGCCTAATTTCAATATATATTAACGGTATTATACTAGTAACAATGAGGTAATTTATATAGCCTCATCGCTTGTAATACTTTATAACTCTTTACAGTAAACGTGCCCCTGATATGACCTTGGCCTAATTTCAACCTGACAGCTGACTTCGCACCAACTCATATGTTGACAAATTTTTCAAACATTTTCAAAATCAAGGTTATCTATATAAGGCCTCTTCGCTTGTAACGTTACATTACTCGACACAACGAACACGCCCTTGCCATGGTATTGGTCTCATTTTAATGTAACAACAATCAGCAATATATAATTAGAGTCAGCAATATATAATAAAATACCAACTCTAGTATTTATCAGAACACAACATTTGCTTATGTTCCTGACACAGACTTTTAGAATTGTTTTTTTTTTTTTTGGTTTTATTATAGCAGAAATAGCCTGTGGCAGTGTGTGTTACATATTTCGTGCGTGTGTAAATTTGATATGGAGACCAATAACATAGTATTTGCACATGTTGGTCTGGTTTAGGTGTGGTTGCTGATTGGTTGTTGACAACCGCACCTGATGCCACATACATGTACGTATAATAGAAAGAAATGCCTTGTCAAGTACATGTATTGACGAATGAAAATGTCTGCCTTTGGTTGTAAATCAGTGGAAACATGTCACGTAATTTTCATTTTTATATACCTTGCTATTTTTTGTGTAAAGAGGATCATAGCACTGAAAATAAATACATGTACATGTATCTAAATCAAATTAGATAAGATTAGGGGTGTTGTCAGGCAGACTATATCTTATTTTAGGTGCGGTTATTGACCGTTTGTTGACATCGTTCCGTATCGTTATGGAGGTCCTGTGTAAATGTTTACCATAATGATTAATGTCTGAGAAAGTTTTATATAGCGCGATATATACTAAAATATGCTCCAGACAAATACCAGCCATTCTAGTTTATGAATAGCAAGCACGCCGGCGCCCTTGGCCTTATTTTTAGCTGACAGCTAAGCACCAACTGCTATGTTGACACAAATACATCAATTGCAAAGTGGAGGTTATTTATAGCCTCCTCGCTTCTAACCTTACATTAGTTGATACGACAAACACTCCCTTGGCATATCCCTGGCCTCCCTTGAAAAGGAACAAGGTTTTTAATGCAGAAAATTGGCTTTATGCCATGTGGAGGAGCGGTTATGATTTTGGCCATTTACTGTGTTTTTTTAGCTGCGAGGGCTTATTTTGTCCGGAACTCTGTCACCTGTTTTAAACGTAGCAAGAGGCTGATGAATTAGGCAGGCAGGTAGATCATAACCAGCTAATCTGTACCGGCTCCATTTGTAAAAGAACATAATGGTAGGAAAATGAGTGCAGTTAAGATAAATCTTCGGATGCTATTTGTATAGAAAAGTTCATCAACTGATTTTTTTCCAACTAAGACACTTTTTGTCATAATCGATGAAAAGCCTCTTATTCTTAAAGCTAAAATTAGGTAACGTAGGGAAATGTATGTTGCTTTTGATTAATGTTATGTACAAAACGCCTGTTCCCTTCTATGGTAATTTGACACCTCAACAGTAATCTTTTAGTCCAGTGATAGTATAATTCCAGCTACAAGTGTAATATTTTGCTTTGACGCAAGTACCAAATACTCTAATAATCTATCCAAACGTAGAAGGGTAGGGCCCATAGTTAATATACCAACAGATGGTGAAGTCGTCTATAATCTTGGCTGGTAAGATTATACCTCCCTGGCCCAAAATGAACCTCTGACTTAAGTGTGCATTTTTCCATTCGATTTAATTATTTTTATCCAAAAATTTATCCTAAAGTGACTTGATAAATGATACAGACAGGGTATATCACACCAATTTTGTACTACACTGCACTTGTCTGTAACTCTGGCGCCACCAAAGTGTAAACAGAGAATCCCAAACGTGTTGAAAAATGTTCTTGCTGGATTCCACTTGATAACGCCTAAACCTCACTGTACTGGTTATGCCAACGTCCTTCTAAAACGGGCCGACTTCACTAGTAGACAGAAGGGAACAGCTATATCCAGACGTCCTAAGGTCCCCAATGAAGTCCAATATAGCGATTGCCTCCAAGAAAGTAAAACCTCCTGCCAGAATACTCGAAAACAAACAGAAAATGACCATGTCACTAATCTACTTATCTACTTACCTACTTGTCCGATTGGGTCTTTTGGGGACAAGGCAGAGATTTTCTTTGCGCTGCGGCTTTCAGCAGCTGTGTGATTGTTATCTGACCTGCCTTATACAAAAACAACAAATAACTAATAATCTCGTCTCGAATACGTTTCAAAAAAGCTGTAAGCTTTTTACCAAACCTGAGTACGGATGCCATAGAGAACCAGCCTGTCTTCGGACCTGGAGAAGACTGTAAGGCGGGATGGACGGACGTATCTGCGGACTTTGATGAGGATGACGAGTGCCTGGAAATCATGGGAAAGCCCGTCATGGAGCGAAAGCAGACGCCTTATATGCACAAACTGGCGAAGATCGCATGCTGCAAAGGTAAGAAATGGATCACTTAAACCTTTCTCACAATCTACAGCATACACAGTTTTGCCATGTCTGTACTATAACTTATAAGCCTTCCACTTATGCCAGGTCTTTTTTATTTTTCCAAAATATAGATACATCACGTTTTGCTACACTGCTGATAGCTTAAAATATAAGAATTATACATTTTTTTTATATTGCATAATTAAGTATTGCCTTCGAGTGTGTGGTATGTTGTAGAAATTTCCTTTTTTGGATGATTTGTATTTTACCTTAGTACACTGACAGTGTACTTTTTGTGTAGGTCAGCAGTTACCAGTTAAGTCCGCCTGTGTCTACATTTCAATAACTCGTGTCACTGACAGTAAATAGTAGGTACTAATTATTATTTGTGTATTCGTGAGACATTCCAAGGGGGAATGCCCTCTTAACATTAGGCCAAGGTCGTACGATTATTATACATGCATGATAGCAGATTTGAGATATTCTGGGAACAGTCGTGCATACGTTGCGGGCCAAATGGAAGCATCATCTGCCGTGGAACATAAGTTTTGCAGCCACAAAGAGAACCCACTGCAATTGCGATAGACTAGACTAGTCTAACTTGTTTTTGTAATATTTCTTTTTCTTTTAGGGGGGATATCCTTGAAATCGGTTTTGGCATGGGGATAGCTGCCTGTGAGATCGAGCAACATGACATTGAGGAACACTGGGTCATCGAATGTAACGGCTGTGTTTACGAGAGGCTAAGGACGTGGGCCGATAATAAACAGAAGCAAAAAAGTCAGTAAAGTAGAATAAAATGATAATAAACATTGGTGATTTTCTTTTTTAAAAGCGAAGGTTTGGCGACGTTACATAGTCTCCACTGTGTACTAGGTCGCATACGTTTCTTTAAAGTAGCCTGTATATAGAGAAAGTCAACCATGGGATTACAATTAGGGTCTAAAAATTGTAACCCTATTTAAACTGGGGGGGGGGCTAAAAGTGAATGCGCCAAATTTTATGTCGGATATCGTTTGAACGGCTTGCGGTAGGGCCACCACACGTGGTGACTTTTCCTGAAATATTTTTGAAAAAAATTATATTTTACTGTGTTGAATATTTTCCTGTTGCCATGGCGACGCGTTTCCGACAGCCATTTTCTGCGAAATTCAGTAATTACTCCGTGAAGGAGGTCAGGACCTCCGGACGGAGTGTTGTGATCGGCTGATTTTTCATGTTCGCAGTCAAAACACTGGGTTCTCTTTGTGAAATCGGCACGCAATTTTATACGCCGTCTGCGGGCATGCCCGTGTTGATGCACGAATGTGAATTTTTGCCGTTGCTGCTTTCGCGGTCAATGTAATATTGCAGACGCACCCCTACAATTACGAGGCGAATTGGAATGGTCCAGAAAAACGCGTTGTTTGGAATAGCAGTGGGGGGGTGGAACTTCATGCAGATACGGGGTGGTTTTGATAAGTGGTTCCAGATGTTTTTGCCCATGCTTAAGAGATGCCAAGTTTTTTTTGGAAGATGTTCGCAGCCAAAACGCATTCTTCCGTACGTCTCATTTCTGTGTAATTTCGCATGTGGTGTGGCATTATGTCCGGGATGATGCACGTCTTTTTTACTTTTACCGTAGTTGTTTTGATATTGAAGTAAATGCATATTTTAGAAACATCCCTACTTTTACAATCCTGTGGAATAGGCCGTAGGTTTAGGCAGTTGTCTGGTAGCAGAGGTACTCTAAGCAGATATCCTGGTTATCTGGCCGGCGGTAGTAACACTCGCGGTGCTTACCGCAACTGTTGCTGGAATTTGGCCTGTTCCAGGCGCGCTTAATTAGGTACAGGCACGGTAAGACGGTGGGGCTGTCTTTGTTACTAAACACGACCATGATAGTCCGATCTTTATGTGAATGCAATGATTGTGTGTGTGTAATTAAAATGAACTTCGAACTTGAAGCACAGTATCTTTACACGCCCTGGGAGCAGTAATGGATTTAGCTCTTTGTATGTTTTATGCTTGTGACGGGCCCTCATTGTATTAACCGTTGCCTAATTATAATGTCTTCACAGTAGGTCTGGCGTTGACGCTTGGGATTTTGTTGAAATATATAAAACTTCACGGAGGATTGTCACCTATGGCTTCTTTTTTTTTTGAGAAGAGGCGAAAATCAGTGCGCGCGTGAATGTCATCCATAAAATTAAGTCGGTGTGGCCTAAGTCACGGTGACGGGCTTGAGCTATGTGAAACCCAATTTGGAATTTCTATGCCAGAAAAGCAAGCACAAATTTGTGTGGGAGCACGTTTTGTGTCCAATTGAAGCATAGCGAGGTACACATTGGTCTTTGTTGTTTCTATTGTATCTTTGAAAGTTGATTGGCACCGTTGTAAACTCTGTTGTGCTTCATATTTATGTTTGTCGTAGCGACACCTGATTGTTCTTCCCTTCTCTCCAAAAAGCGTTCAGGTATTGTGGACTATCCTCTGTACACAACACTCTTTGTAACATGCTAGCTGTTATGAAAAAATGTGGTAAAAGCACTGGTAGGGCAGATCGATCATTTATGTAGAAGAATGTTTACGTACTAAACGAATGTAGTTTGATTTTAATTAAGAGATTGTGAGCATGGGGCTGCAGTACCTTCATTCTTCACTAACCGGCGCTTTAGGAGGGTCATATCACGACCAGGCAGATTCGCTATTTTCGATGGGGCAAGGGGACTTTATGTTGGCAGCTTGTGTCCATTGTCCGAATTGGCTATTCCAGGTAATTGGCTGAAGTATCTTCACTCTTCCCTAGGATTCGCTTTAACAACATCCAGCGTTTCATGTTAATCACTGATATATATTAATTTGACGATCTATTTGGTCAATTGGGAGGGCGTGCATGGGGGTTTCCGACAGTTATGAGAGCCTGTATGAGACCGTGGGGAGCCGGTTACAATATACAGTGTAAAAAGAGCGCCGTCTAGCGGCCTTACTTGATACTACAGTATAAATGATTGATATACTAGTAACACCCTCAGTTTAATTTGGGACCGGCCTCCCATATCTCCCAATTGGGCTAACATCGCAAACTGAAAGTAAAAATGATGTTATAAATACGTAGCAGCCATTGATTACCCCCTATCGCTATCTATCACCAAAAAGTCTAGACCACAGCATGTTCAGGACGGAAGTTCTGCTGCAGTACAAAGGTCAGCCACCAGGAGGCCCAGATTTTATCTTGACTTTTGCCTTCCTATGAACTACCAACATACCAAATGTCATCACAATCCATAAAGTTATGCTGACCACAAGTATGCGGAAACACAGACACACAGACAGGCCGCAAACAATCGCTACATTGTCAATTAGGTAATAATCAATAGAATCAGCCCAAGGCCGAAGTGGGCAATAAACTATATGTAAGTAATGAAATACACCCAATGTTTGCGTTGCGTTTTATTGAGAAACACACGCTTTTTAACATTTTTAAAACATTTGCAAAAAAGCTCAGATAAACCTGAATCCCTACAGACAAGTTGTATTCTTACTCTATTGTTAACCACAGCTCTTATCGCCATAACGTTTATATGGGATCCAGGCTGACTGACTCACACTGTTGCATGCTGAAACATAATAAAATGATATATACGTGCCAGTTATAAGAATATGAGATTAACACACATTCTTGGTCATAATTACTATAATTACACAAAAGCTATGTGTCATCCTAACGCAGAATTCTTCACAAATTAAGAAAAAAGTAGTCTACATGTAACAGCTGGGCATTTTCTCTTTGCAGGTTTTCCCCAATCTATAGTCTCAAGACTAAGGCCGTGTTTAAGTGAAGTCACCCAAGGCGCTTTACATGTGGTTTACTCCAAAGCCGATTTCAAGTGGCTCCATCTAAAGACTCCGAAATCACATTAAAAACGGCTCGATCCCAAGCCACATCTAGAGGTTGCTTCGAATCGGTTTTCCCGCATCGCGATTTGCGTCTAAACGCAATGTGATTTCAATGTAACTTCGCCTGGTCATGGATTACGGGGTGATATTTCTTTATTTATATGCAATGCCAACTTTAACGTGGCAGCAATGGTCAAATATTGTGTCCGTTCTAGGGCGAGCTTCACCGCCTCTGGCGGGACCACGTCGGCATTAGGCCGAGATACGCTGGGAGGGGGGCATCAGCAAGCAGGCGCCGTTCGGACAGGTGTCAGGGCGCTCCACACCGTTCGGAGAGGTGTCAGGGCGTTCCACACCGTTCGGATAGGTGTCAGGGCGTTTCACACCGTTCGGACAGGTGTCAGGGCGTTCTGTGTCGTTCGGATAGGTGTCAGAGCGTTTCACACCGTTCGGATAGGTGTCAGGGCGTTCCACACCGTTCGGATAGGTGTCAGGGGGTTCCACACCGTTCGGATAGGTGTCAGGGCGTTCCACACCGCTCGGACAGGTGTCAGGGCGTTCCGAGCGTTGACCTCTGACATTGATAACACGCCACCTTGCGTGTTATCTTCAAACAGCAATAAGTGTAGCTCAAGCGAATTGTGATCGGACACGGTTTCACAGGAGTGTGTGGCACGTGGACCAGATGTGAGGAATGTGAGTTACCCGAATCGCGGTTTGGGTGACTTCACTTAAACACGGCCTAAATGTCCTCTGAGCTGAATAGATAACAGATGAATGTATGAAGTAAATACAATTGTTACAGTCATGGTGTGTTTCCGTCTGTTTACACACGGAACCTATACTTACAAAGTGTCACGGACAGGTCATTTCTTTGAAGACTTTGATGAAGAAAGAGGTTCAAGATACCGCCAACGACACGCTGTACAAAGTCTGTAATACGGAACCTCTCTCCATGAAAGTTGAGAAACTCAGGTGGTCTCTGTTCGGACATATTCTCAGAATGCCACAAGACACACCTGCACATAACGCTCTGGAATTTTCATTCCTTAGCTCTTAGAGACATAAAGCTAGCAGGGGGAGACATTGTATCAACCTACTCAGCCTACTGAAGGGAGACCTGAAGCGCAGAGGGCTAGGCCCTCCCACAACAGAAAAGAAACTCAGGGAGCTCAGAGAGCTTGCGAAGCAGAAGGCAAGGTGAAAAGAGATGAAGAAAGACTGAATGCGGCTACAGGACATCGACTGTAGACGCAGAACACAGTGAATGATGATGATACCGCCAAGAGAAGACGACTCACTACTAGTATCTATAAGTAGATCTGGGGGTCATCTCCAAGGGCACATTGACATTTTAACCCTATTCAG